TTAGGTCTCCGGCGTTGGCTCACGAGGCGGTGAAAACAGTGGACGCAGTCATGACGCATGGTTCCTCGTGAAGCTGAGATAGAAACACGTGTTTCCACGTACGTTGTTCCCTGGCCTTTTTTGATTGCCTTGTGTTGGGCTCTTTGGGCTTGTAGAGTTGGGTTGGCCTTTAGTTGAATTTTATGTATGTTTTAACTAGTTTGTATGGGCTGTGTCTTTTTTGGACCATGACCTTTTAATAAAATTAGATGGAAAAAAAAGGAACTTGATGAGGTCAAATAAATTTTATTATAGCATTTTCAAGCATGTAATATCTTTTTCAAGAATATCCATAGTTTTATTATCATCAACTGTAATATAATACCGTAATTTAATTAAACATTAATTTTTTTCATAAAAATATAGCTAGTAAATCACATAATGACATAAGTATCTTACATTTTTCAAGTTCTCAAACGAGAACCTTATCTAGATATCTTTAATGCAATTGCTCTTTTTTAAACATGATGATTGCAATGATTAATGAGAAGCTTCTTAACTTTTAGTTTTTTTTTCCATTACTATGTAACTATGTTACGAAAATCTACTTCATAGTTTTTACACCAAATTACTTTTTTGAGCAACTTTGTACACCAAGGTGCATTAAACTATTAAGTATGACTATGACTATCAACTATACATATTTGACTAGATGATAATCCGCACCATGCGCGAAGTGAAACATATATTTGAGTTATTATCATATTTTACATATATTACATTACATTTGCATGAAATAAGATATATTTCTCTTTAATTATGTAATTCTTGCATGAAATTTTCTATAATATTAAATATTTATATTTAATATTTTGCGGAGTGGGGGGAGGATTTCTCACTAACAAATTTAATTAAAATTAGCATAGCTTTTAGATATCTATACTATTAAAACACAAGGCCTTCTTTTTAAAGTGTCATTTTTTAAAAGTATTTATAACCAAATGTCAATATATTATTTTTTAAGATATGCTTTATATCAAAACAGTTTTACCCGATGAAAGCGGTTTTGACCCGATTTTGATAAATTGACAAAATTTTATTTGTCCAACCGTCCAGATTGAGAAAAAAAAATTGAGAAATCCTTTATTTTCCAAACAAAAAGATTCAGTTAGCATTTTTTACAGTACACTAGGTATGGATCCGTGCGTTGCAGGGATTTCAATTGATGTTTTAATTTCATAAAAACATAAAAATAAGAAGAAAAAAATTGCAATCATTTTGGCATATATTCCGTGAAACTTATTTTAGGAATAAAAATTATTTTCCACATAATTTTTTATTACTATTTATGTTTCAGTGATTTTTTTTCCGGCTATGTTTCAACAGTTTTAACAATTGTAAATTTAAGGGTATAGAAAAAATCCAAACCCAAAAATTTAAATTGAATCTAACCCTGAAAAAATATGGATTAGAATAAAATATAATAAATAAGAAAATTGAATCAAAACAAACGAATCGGTGAAAATATATGCACTTTATAGAATTTATCTATCTTAAAAGAATATGTAATGAATAAAATTACATCTTTATATTTATAGACAAAATAGTCTTACTCTATATTTCTATAAACATAAAAAAAACTCTATTACAAAATTATACAATTAAGCAAATCTACCTTTATAATACAACTTCACTATTACAAAAGAAAATATAGTAATGAATCTATAGGTGAATTGAAAATTATCTTATTTGTTTAACTAGGGCAAAACATTGGATCAAGATTTTTATCTTCTAATCTATAGGTAATGAAACTATTAATACATTATGCATTTTAATACTACTTTAATTCTTGTACCCACAAACATGTATGTTGTGAAGACCATGTTTCTGAATCTTTATTGTTAAATAAATATTTATGAATAGAACTTACTAATAAAAGTTTTATGGAAACCAAGCTATAATAAATAATAAATTGTATTAGTGTATGTTGCAATAGAGCTGAAATCACAATCATTAAGAAGTTATTGTAACTTCATTTCTAATATATGAATTTCAATATAGATACATATTGGATTCTCGTTTTTCTTTATAATCTTTTCACTCTAAATTCATATTCAAGAAAAAGAAATATGTATCTAACCTAAATTATAATTTTTTGCCTAAGTACAAATTAGTTACATAATTATAAGTATATATATATATATATATATATATGCAAGATTTTTAATAATGGAAAAAGATAAAAATAAATTCTTACTCTTTATCTATTATTTTCAAATAATTTACCTCTCATTGTTTAGTAACAATAAAGACATTCTTTTATTAAACTGGTTCAGTTTAAACAATTTTTTGAATTCATTTTTTCGTATGTTACATATACATTATTAAAACTTTAAATAAAAATAAAGTATAAAAAAATATTGCATAGTTAAATTCAGAAAATTTAATAAAATATTATAGGAAACCGGATTTTTTTGCCAAATACATATAAAGATTAGAGGGAGATAATGATAATAATAATAATAATAATAATAATAATAATAATAATAATAATAATAATAATAATAATAATAATAATAATAATAATAATAATAATAATAATAATAATAATAAGAATAATAATAATAATAATAATAATAATAATAATAATAATAATAATAATTTTAAAAGATTAGAGTGGGGCTAAATCTTCACCAAACTTAGATCCTCTATTGCACAAAGTAGTTGATAAATTTGGTTAATAAAAATGTGGAAACACCGTTCACGGGTCTCTTTTGTGAGTGATATTTAAAATGTATTATTACGTATTATATATAATTATTAATTCAAATAATTTATAGATACGGTTTTTCATAGTTTATATATACTTATGTATTTTAATATTTAAATGACAACTAACAGTATTATTCTATAAACATGTTATTAATAACGCGGTATAACATTACATCATAAAAACATAGGTCCAAGGGTATTGATTTATAAATACTCTAATAAATGATGTCTATTTTTATAAATGGATTGAGAGGACTTGTAAAACTGTCATATAAGTAATGGCAATTTTGTTAATCACACATGAGAACAAGGGTATTTATTAAAAATGTTCATCAAGTAATATATAAAGAATTAGTCTATTGGTTTATATCAAACCTGATGGTTTGGATAGATCTAGTGTATATAAGCTTTGTACACACAACAGTTTTTTTTTTTTCCACACCAAAGCTGTGTTTGACAGAAACCATATTTATTTATTTTTGACCAACTATTGATATTTCCATATTCTCTCTATTCTCACACGAGCGAGAGAATGAAAGCTGAGCTGTTCACCTTTTCTCTTCTGATAATAACTCTACTGAATCACCATTATAGTTTGTATCATATACGGCTACAAAGTCTTTATACTCCGTCATGATCCTCTGAATCACCATTATAGTACAGTTTTGCTCTAACTTTACTCTATTTTGAAGCGAAAAACAAATTGCATTACCCCCTTTGAATAAATCCTAAACCCTTGGGCAGGGCCGGTTTCGAGAATTATGAGACCTGAGGCGATTTCTTAACGATTTCATCTAAAAATTTTTTTTTACAGATTTGGAAGCCTAAAAAAAAAAATTTTGGGGTCTGTATACAATATAATTTTTTTCAAAAAATTTTGGGGACCAAAGCTAATGTTTCATCCAGCTTTATCTAATGCTGACCCTGCCCTTGGGTAAACCTTAAACCTTTGGATTAATTATAAACCCCAAATCAAAAATACTAAACACTAAATCTTAAAAATACAAAACCTTTAATTTTAACCCCTAAACCATAGGATAAATTATAAATTTTAGGGGTTATAGTTTATCCAAGGGTTTAGAGTTTGGTGTTTAGTATTTAGGGTTTAGTGTTTTGTTAAATGCGTTAAAATACTAAAAACCAAACTCTAAACCCTATGGTTTAGAATTTATCATAGAATTTAGGAATTAGAATTAATGGTTTAGTGTTTAGGATTTAGGATTCAGGGTTTAGGGTTTATTGATTTGTTGATGGCGTTAAATTATTTTTTTTTGCAACTATTATTACTTCTATTTTTTTTTTACCTTTTGTTTTAAATATGTAATATAATTTGACAATATTTTTTCAAAGATATTGAATATGAAATAACACAATTCTATTGGTTGATGAACCTAGAAGTTCAAGTTATGGGTAAATCTAAGAATAACTCTTTTTGAAATAAATTATTTTTTTCATTTAAAAAGTGAAAAACAGACTATAATTGAAAAATCATATTTTACTCTTATTTTGGAACACTATTTGATTTCATTCATTCAATTTACTTGGAGACAACGAAAACAAGGAATTATTCATAATCTTTGATAGAAAAACATAAAACACAATGGCAAAGGAATTTTTGCAGATTAGTCTTCAAGTGAAAATGACACTGGATTCGATACAAAGCTTGAATGCGTCTAAGAAGCTTTAACACTAGAGTCGTTTAACTGAAATCCAACCTTCACCAACAAGAGGAACTGAAGTACTTTCGATTACATCTTTTTTGCCCCATACACATGATGAAAAACCGATGAAGAAGTTGAGAACTATGCTGGGAAGCGAGTCCAAATCATCTCCTTCTCTCATGGAAATAAGATATGTTATGAATTTTCCTCAAAAGGAGGAATAGATGAATCAAAATCAAAATAAGTGACAGAGAAGAAAAAACAAAAACTATGATAGATTTTTCACACCAGAGTCTATATTATTTAGAAATGAAAAGAAACAGAAATTTCTTAATTTTGTTTTTGAAAGTAGAAATACATTAAATATCGAAAGTCTATGAGAAACGATTACAGGTGGTTGGTGTCTTGGTGATACTACACCAACTTTATTTGTTAAAAATACAAATACAAATACGAAAGCGTTCATGATTTATCTCAATTCAGTAAAACACCCATTTATTATCATGGCATAAATAAAAGATTTAAGCAAAGATACGCATTATTGACCTTTTAGGTAAGGCCATTGACACCTTGTGACTGAATTAAGCTTCAGCGGTCCGAATGGCGGTCACAGAAGCTCTTCAATCTTTCAAAGGCATCCTCCAAAGTTTGAGTATGCATGTCGACAGAATGCCTCGCCCAGCCCCTCAGAGCAAAAGCAATTCCTAAACCAATCCAACACTACATACACATTATTATGTTAAATAATCACAAATTTTGTTAGATTTTCAAAAAAATATTGACCTATATATGTTTACTCTAAATCTCAGAACATTTCAGATGTGGATTCCTAATAAACTAAGATATATATTTTTCTCTTCAGTACTGCTGAGCCGAACGTTGATTATACATAGGTGATGCATGTGATATTGAGTAATACCTGGTAAAAGAACGAGGTTTTCTTCAGTAGCAAGCTTTTCACAGAAGTCTTCATCATCTTTAATGTCCACAAAGCTTGATATTTTCAGCTGGGTCTGCGAGATGCTTCAAAAACTTAAGAGAATTTTTCAAAATAATCAAAAGGATGAAGTACTAAGAAAATGTAGTAAGAATATAATATCTATAGGAAGGTGCATGCTTCAGGCATTTGAAGGACGGTATGTCCGAGAGCTTAGAATAAGCCAAATCCGCTTTATCTTTCAGAAACATCTGCCTCCTGTGGAAAAACTCTTTAGGAGTATCCTTCAAGATGGTAGGAATAGCCGCCTACGTGATAAAATCGACAAATTCACCAAATATAAACAAATTAATATTGGTAATAAGTGGGAAAGTCTATGACATTGTGTTAGTAAATATGGTTACAAGAAGTGTCCACACTAGAAAGTCATGTACCTGGATAACAGTTGGTGGTTTAAAATTTATCTCAAGAAATTGTTTAGCAGCAGTTAAGAGCATCTCCAACTCCACTCCATAATTTACTGTAAAATGGAGTGGGAAATAGAGTAATGAATAAACAAAAAAGTGATTACTCAATAAATGGAATAATGAGTTTTTTATTTGTTCATCACTCTATTCCCCACTCCATTTTACAGTAAATTATGGAGTGGGGTTGAAAATGCTCTAAGACATGTTCATGTATAACAAGATTAGGGCACGGAAAATCAATAAAATTTTAACTCTTCAATATCATACATGGTATATAGTAACAATATGATAGATCATAGAGTATTGATACTCGTAACTCATGAACTCTTTGTAAAACTCTGTAAGTTCTATTAAGGATAATGGAAGTGACGAATATAGCTTTGAGTACGGAACAAACTAAGCTCTCATGGAGAACCTAGCTTGAATCATCGTTCTCATGGCGAACGAGAGTGATAGACTCATGGCGTCTAAACATTCAACATCAAAGCATGCGTCTCTTCTTTGATCCAGATCTCTATTTATAACTCGTCTCTTCCTTCTCGTGAGCTGTAACTGCAAAGCTTCCAAGTCCATCAGAGTCTCTCTTGGCCACGTCAGCAGTTCATTAGCTCCTTCATAGTAGGTACCTATCACAATACATATCATGTATATTCTTAAAGAGTGATCAAACATAATGAAACCGACCTTGGTGCATTTAAAGACACCATCTAGATCGTGTAGGACGACCCAGCCAGTTCGCCATCCGGGGACAGTCCATCCCTTCGATATGGACCCAATAGTCATCACAGGTACGATTGATGAGAATTTCGCCATGGGAACAAAGGGATTGCTCCCAAAAACGGCCCATCTAAAAACTTTGTCAGAAACCACCATTATCCCGAGATCCCGAGCCAACAAAGCGATCTAAGATAATATAGGCACAATCAAAAGACTATAGATCACATAAGACCATGTCAATACTGCTAAATAGAATATATGTAAATTACCTGCTTGAGATGAGCTTCAGAGTAGACGTTCCCATTGGGATTGTGAGGGTTGATTATAAATATTGCAAACGTGTTCTCATCCACTTGCTTACGGACGCTTTCAAAGTTAATCTCATAGTTCTTTTCGGGGAAGAATTCTGTTACAGGGATAATGAAGAGGGGAGTTTGAGACACGTGGTGACTTTACGGTGGTGGAAGAAGGTTGTTACGAGTTGGTTAGAAGATAATAACGACTCCATTCAGAGTATGACAGCTGGCAAGTGACGAGAGCAGAGTTTGTTAAATGCTCTGTTTCGTAGTTTGTTTGATTCATTCAGCAAATTGTAAAAGTTCTTGTTACTTTCTTTGTAATTCTCTCTCTGGAATTCTATCACATTTTCCTGGAAAATAATACGAGATTCATTCGTTTGAGGTCATTCTTATTCCGATCTCTTGCTATTGAATTTCTAGATCTTTGTTTACTAATTGAACATTGATCTAACATACGGATTCTCCGTATTAGTGGTATCAGAGCTCGGCGATCTTTGGAGTTTCCCGGAAAATTTTCACAGCAATCATGGCGGAGACAAGAGCTCAGTTGGCGAAGAAGGCGGTGGCGCGTGAAGTTGATGATGAGATCGAAAATCGATTTGTAGCGTTAGAAAATGCTTTTGCGGCGCAGAGCGAGAAGACGGATCAGAGTATTCAAGATATGGTGGAAGCTTTTAAGCTGATGACGCGTTTTCCAAATCAAGCCGGAGCATCGACGAGTGGTGATCAAAATCCGCAAGGACAATCTCCGAGAATAGCAGCTGCAAACGATATTCAGCGTGATCATCAACAACGTCATGGTATGACTCGTTTAGCCAAAATTGATTTTCCTCGATTTAACGGTGAGAAGATACAGGAATGGTTATGTATGGTAGAACAATTTTTTACCATTGATAATACTCCTGAGGATTCAAAGGTTGTTATAGCATCGATACACTTTGAAGGCTTAGCTAGAACTTGGCATCAAGCTTTGATGCAAGAGGATAGTGAAGCGAGGGTGTTAAGAGATTGGAGGGAGTATAAATTGATCCTCAAAGAAAGATTTGAGGAAGTGTTGGATGATCCTATGGCAGAACTTAAAGATTTGAAGGAAACCGAAGGGATTGAGGAGTACCATGCAAAATTTGAACTGATCAGGTCACGTTTACGCATGACAGAGGAGTACTTGGTCAGTGCTTATCTTGCAGGTTTACGTATGGATACACAGATGCATATACGTATGTTTTCTCCACAATCCACAAGACAATGTTTGGTGTTGGGTAGACTTTATGAGAAGGCGCATCCAAGAAGATCTTTTAATGCTGGGTGGTCTGGATCTAAAGGAGTATCTTCAGCGAATAACAGAGGTCTACTACCTACACCTAAGATTGCAGACACAAACCAAGTGAAGGAAGCAAATAAACCTAAGGCTAATGGTCAACAATTGAGGAAGTTTTTGACTAATGAGGAGATTAATGAGAGAAGAGCCAAAGGGCTTTGCTATTACTGTGATGAAAAGTATTCATTGGAGCATAGTCAAAAACATAAAAAGACACAACTTTTTATGATTGACTATGATGAAATGGAGTTGGAAGGGAGAGAGGAGGTTAGTGGAGACAGCAGGGATGACGATGAGGCAGATGAAGTAGCTCAAATATCCATTAACGCTGTATCAGGAAGTACGGATTATACCACCATGAGAGTGAGAGGAGTCCATGGGAAGAAAAATATATACACGCTTGTGGATTCAGGCTCTACTCACAATTTCTTAGACAAGAAGATGGCTCTTTTGTTGGGGTATAAGTTGGAAAATGCAGGCAAAGCAAGAGTAGCAGTGGTGGATGGTACAAAGATTGCCGTGTGTGGGAAGATACCTAATTTCAAATGGCATTTCCAAGGACACCAATTTCAATCTGACGTTATGGTGATTCCCTTGGGGGGTCATGACATGGTATTGGGAGTACAATGGCTGTCTAAATTAGGTCCCATCACATGGGATTTTGATAAGTTGTACATGCAGTTTAAATGGTTGCAGAAGAAGTGTGTGCTACACGGTTTGAAATCAGGGTCCGTACGTGAAGTCAAAGCCAAGAGAATTGATGAGGTGAAGGATCCTGAGATACAACTACATATGATATATGCGTACGAAGAGGAATCCAGTGATATGATGCTGAATGCTATTGAGCAAAGTGTGGGCGAAGTTGAAGAAAACTCAGAAATTGCGAAGTTGACTACAAAGTTTTCTGCAATTTTTGAAGAACCAAAGTCATTACCTCCATTCAGAGATAATCATAACCACAAGATTACTTTGATGGAGGGTGCTAACCCGGTTAATCAAAGACCCTATCGGTATGCATTGCATCAAAAGAATGAAGTTGACAAGATGGTTAAGGAGTTATTGGAAGCTGGAACAGTTCAACCTAGTTGCAGTCCGTACGCATCACCAGTAGTATTGGCCAAGAAGAAGGACAATACTTGGCGTTTGTGTGTGGATTATAGGAAGCTAAATCAGATGACTGTGAAGGATCGGTTTCCTATTCCTTTGATAGAAGATCTAATGGATGAACTAGGTGGTTCTGCTGTATATTCTAAGATCGACCTTAGAGCTGGGTATCATCAAGTGAGAATGGATCCAAGGGATATTCAAAAGACTGCATTCAGGACACACAGTGGACATTACGAGTATTTGGTGATGCCTTTTGGCTTAACTAATGCTCCAGCCACTTTTCAAGGCCTGATGAATGATGTGTTTCGGCCTTATTTGAGGAGGTTTGTCCTAATATTCTTTGATGATATACTTGTCTACAGCAGTGATATGAAACAACATTTGTGCCATCTAAGAGAAGTGTTTGAAGTGATGAAGGAGAAGAGGTTATTTGCTAAAAGAAGTAAATGCGCCTTTGGTACAAAAAGGGTGGAGTACTTGGGACATTTCATTGAAAAAGAAGGGGTTTCAACTGATCCAAGTAAAGTGCAGGCGATTGCAGACTGGCCACAACCCAAAAATCTTAAAGCTTTGTGAGGGTTCTTAGGATTAGCTGGCTATTACAGGAGGTTTGTGAAGAATTTTGGAGCGATTGCACGGCCTTTGACAGCTTTGACCAAGAAAGATTCTTTTCTCTGGAACGAGGAAGCAGAGCTTTCATTTAGAACTTTGAAGAAAGCATTGACTGAAGCTCCTGTGTTAGCACTTCCTCGGTTTGATAAGCCTTTCTTGGTTGAAACAGATGCTTGTGGTAATGGTATTGGTGCAGTTTTGATGCAGGAAGGTCACTCTCTCTCGTACATTAGCAGACATTTGAAGGGGAAACAATTGACTTTGTCTATCTATGAGAAGGAGTTGTTGGCTGTGGTGTTTGCAGTGCAGAAGTGGAGGCATTACTTGCTCACAAATCACTTCATCATTAAGACGGATCAACGAAGCCTTAAGTACCTGTTGGAACAAAGACTGAACACACCAATCCAACAACAGTGGCTTCCTAAGCTCTTGGAGTTCGATTATGAGATTCAATACAAGCAAGGGAAGGAAAATTTGGCTGCAGATGCTTTATCTCGTGTGGAAGGATCTGAAATCTTACATATGGCAATGACTGTGATGGAATGTGATTTGATGAAACAGATTCAGGAGTTATATGAGACGGATGTAGTTACTAAGCAGTTGATCGAAGACTTGAAGATGGATAAAAATGCAAAGAAGCATTTTACGTGGAGTAATGAAGTACTAAGGAGGAAAAGCAAGATTGTTATTCCTGATAGTGTGGAGTTGAAGAACAAGATATTGAGTTGGTTACATGGTTCTGGTCAAGGAGGTCACTCGGGTAGGGAAGTGACGTTACAGAGAGTCAAAGGTATCTTCTATTGGAAGGGAATGGCAAAGGATATTCAGGCTTATTTTCGAAGTTGTTCTGTTTGTCAGCAATGCAAATATGACAATGCAGCTTCACCGGGGTTACTTCAGCCTTTACCTATTCCAGAAGCTATATGGAGAGAGATTTCAATGGACTTTATTGACGGTTTGCCGAATTCTTTTGGGAAGACAGTCATTTGGTGGTGGTGGATAGGCTTAGCAAAGCAGCTCATTTCATGGCTTTGAGCCACCCTTACTCTGCTTTGTCTGTCGCACAGGTCTTTTTGGATACAGTTTACAGGCTCCATGGGTTCCCGAGTTCAATTGTCAGTGACAGAGACGCTGTGTTCTTAAGTGAGTTTTGGCAGGAGCTCTTTCGTTTGCAGGGTTGTTCTTTGGATATGACCACGGCTTATCACCCGCAAAGTGATGGACAGACGGAGGTAGTTAACCGTTGTTTGGAGACCTATTTGAGATGCATGACCAGTGACAAACCATACTTGTGGAGCAAGTGGTTACCTCTTGCGGAGTTTTGGTACAATACCAATTATCACACGGCTACGCAAACGACACCTTATGAGATTGTGTATGGGCAATCTCCTCCAGTGCATTTGCCATACTTACCAGGAGAGTCTAAAGTTCAGGTGGTTGCAAAGTGCTTGCAGGACAGAGAAAATATGTTGTTGCTTCTTAAGTTTCACTTGCTCAGGGCTCAACATCGCATGAAACAGATGGCTGATAGACACAGGAGTGAGAGGAACTTTCAGATTGGGGATTATGTGTTTGTGAAACTGCAACCTTACCGTCAAAACTCAGTGGTTTCACGAGCAAATCAGAAGCTAGCTCCGAAATATTATGGTCCTTACAAGGTGTTGGACACTCGAGGAAAGGTCGCTTATAAGTGGAGTTGCCTTCTTCTTCTAAGATTCATCCTGTTTTTCATGTGTCCCAGTTGAAGAGAGTCATTGGTGATGTTACTACGTCATCTCAGTTACCATCAGTCATGTTTGAAACTACGGCCAAGGAACCTGAGTATGTGAAGGAAAGGAAAATGGTGCAGAGGCAGGGTTAGGCAGTTACTATGGTATTGGTAAAATGGACTAATGGTAATGATGAAGAGGCTACTTGGGAGTTTTTGTTTGATATGAAGAAGAGGTTCCCGGAGTTTGAGTTTTAAAGTCATCTTGTGGACAAGATTGTTTTAGGGGGGAGGGATGTGTTACAGGGATAATGAAGAGGGGAGTTTGAGACACGTGGTGACTTTACGGTGGTGGAAGAAGGTTGTTACGAGTTGGTTAGAAGATAATAACGACTCCATTCAGAGTATGACAGCTGGCAAGTGACGAGAGCAGAGTTTGTTAAATACTTTGTTTCGTAGTTCGTTTGATTCATTCAGAAAAATTGTAAAAGTTCTTGTTACTTTCTTTGTAATTCTCTCTCTGGAATTCTATCACATTTTCCTGGAAAATAATACGAGATTCATTCGTTTGAGGTCATTCTTATTCCGATCTCTTGCTATTGAATTCCTAGATCTTTGTTTACTAATTGAACATTGATCTAACATACGGATTCTCCGTATTAAATTCATATCAGCGGACCTCAAGTTTCTTGTAGATGGCGCGAACTACATCCCATGGCCAGCCAGGGCTCGGAAGCAGGACGTTAGCTTTTGGTTTAGCCAAGATGTCAACTGCAAGCTCGATGGCTTGTTTGCACCCAACGGTCATAAACACGTCATCTGCTGTCAGTTTCTTTGGGATGTCATCTCACGGTTTAGGTACTCTGCTACGGCACTAGGAATAGCAAAAATTTGACAGTTTTTGTCAAAAAAAGGTCTAAAAATCATAAACGATATATCTATAGTTCAAGACCTATACCGGGTGCATAAGCGTTTCCAGTACCGCAAAGGACGGCATTAACGACAGCCTTTTCAGTGGTATGGCAACTGGCAAGTCTCGGCGGTTTCACCTCGAGGAGGCAAAATGGGCTTTCCGTTAGGATCGCACATAGCGATGAGGCCTCCTTGGCCGCCTGGCTGCCGCTGAACTTCCAGCCAACGCGTTTATTTGCCATATTTTCTTGCGTTTAGTGTCTTTTCTTGTTGTTTGTGGTGGTCACTCTCATCGCTACGAGAGAGTTTATATAGTAAAAGTTTCCACATTTTTCACATTTTTTTATAAACATGGTATTAATGTGCTGACTATTCAAATGAATATTGGGACGATAAGAACAAATAGTAAATCACATATATCGAGTCCCTGCGCGTTCGAACGTGGGTTTCTCCGATCAATGTGATTAAGAATATTATTATTATAAAATGTTTAAGGATCGAATATTAATTAGAGGAGATATAAACCGCTAGTCAGTCTTCCAGAAAAACCATTGGCGTTTAAATGTTTACTAGATTTTGAACAGTGTATATATTTATATATATACATATAATATCATAGATATATAACATTTATCATATAACATTAAAGGAGATCCTCTGTCCCCTTTCATTTTTATTCTGTGCACGCAAGCGCTCGTTAGCCTTCTAAATCACGCAGAGAATCAAGGGAAGATAACGGGGATGCACATTACGCGTGCGTGTCCCTCTGTATCTCACATTCTCTTTGCTGATGATAGTCTGTTTTTCTGTAAGGCGGAGCCCCGTGAATGTGAAGAAGTAATGAATGTGGTCACGATGTATGGACAAGCTTCAGGACAATGCATAAATTTTGAGAAGTCTTTTTTACTCTTTGGTAAAAGAATCGGACAGGTTGTGAGACAAGAGATCAAAGACACACTTGGGATCCAAAATGAAGGAGGAATGAGGTCATATCTGGGTATACCAGAGGATATCAGTGGATCCAAATGTAAACTCTTTGCTTTCCTTAAGGACAAGATGAGAAATATAGTGAATGGATGGACTGGGAGATGGCTCTCTAAAGGCGGGAAAGAAGTGATGATAAAATCAATCTTGCTTGCCCTTCCGACGTATGTAATGTCTTGTTTCCTTCTCCCATTGGATATTTGTGAGAATCTAGCCAGTGCCATTGCACAATTCTGGTGGAGCTCAAACCCACCAAAAAGGGGTATTCACTGGTCAACATGGGACAAATTATGCTTACCCAGAGATGAAGGTGGTATTGGTTTTAGGATGATTCATGAGTTTAACCTGGCGCTACTGGCAAAACAATTATGGCGACTGGTACAAAACCCGGATTCTTTGGTTGCTCGCGTCTTGAGAGGTCGGTATTATAGATTGAGTACACCTTTGCGTCAAATCAATACTAGCAGTCCCTCATATCAATAGACAAGCATATCGGCCGGAAGAGAATTGCTACTGTTAGGAATTAGACAAAAAATTCATTCGGGGTATGAGGTTAAAGCTTGGGAGGATCCTTGGATTCCTACTATACCTGCGAGACCAGCAATCCCTTTGGCACCGGCTCTACATCCGAATATGCGTGTGAGCGATTTGATTAACCAAACAACGAAGACTTGGGATGAAAGACGACTTCAGGATTACATTAATGTGGATGACATTCCTCTCATCAAGAGCATGGCTATTAGTTCCACACACCAACGGGATACGTACTGCTGGAGCTATACAAGGACTGGATAGTATACCGTTAAATCTGGATACTGGTTAGCACGAAATATCTTGAGGAAGGAGGATGAAACTGAAGTATGTGAGCCTAGTATCACAAAGCTCCAAACACATGCGTGGAAGGTCAGGGCTCCCCAAAAGATGTGCCATCTTATGTGGCAGGTGATTACAGGACATGTAGCTGTCACAAGCATTTTAAACTATAGGCATATGAGATGTGACAACTACTGTCCTCGATGTCGTGAGCCAGAGGAGACGATCACACATGCACTATTTGAATGCCCACCTGCGTTACAGGTTTGGACACTATCATCTACGCCTACCAATCCAGCTATGTTTCCAGTTCAAAGCACGTACCCGAATATGGATTATCTGTTCTAGAGGAAGAATGCAATAATGGAGCCGGAATTGGATAGGGATCCTTATCCTTGGCTAATCTGGTACATTTAGAAGGCTAGGAATGATAAGTTATTCCGAGGCATTGATAGGGATCCATTGGAAGTGGCGCATTACGCAGAGAGTGAATGTCAAGCATGGTTCCAAGCAAATGAGCAGGAAATACCGCCTCCTCTTGGGGATTGAATAGGTGAAGACCAGGCCTTAAGCTTGGAAAACATCTGCATGGTGGATGGATCTTGGATTTCAACGGACTCCTTCAGTTGATGTGGGTGGGTTTTGAATGATGCTTCTGGAAATAGCCAGTTACTGGGGGTGCGTAATTTTGATCGAGTGGAATCGGCGTTGCATTCAGAGTTGGAAGCACTGCGGTGGGCAATGGAGAACATGCTTCAACATTCGCCATGTCAGAGCTTTGGAACTGATTGTAAGGAGATGATCGAAATGCTCAGGAATCCTCAAGCATGTCCTAGCTTCTCAACAGAGGTGGAAAATTTGATGACGCTGAAGATCTGTTTTCCAGACTTCAAGATCTCTTATGTTCCTAGACTTCAAAATGGCGCTTCTGATTCTTTAGCTAAGTTAGCTAGGTCCTTTTATCGTAAGCTTGTGTATGTTGGTTGTTCTGTTCCGGTCTGGTTACCTAGACCACCTCAAGTCGTTTGAGTAATAGATTAGCCGTTTGACGTCAAAAAAAAAAACCATATTATATATTTACACATAACATTTTTATTGTATTTGGATCATCAATATATTATATTTATTTATAAATCTTCTAAATGAGTATTATTGTCTAAACAATCACAATATATTTTTTTCTTAAAGCAAATTTATTATGGTTTGAAATTAAATATTAATTTTTAATAGTGTTTTTTCGAATTAATTTTTTACAGAAAAAATTATCTTTTTGTCATCATAAATTTTTTATCAATACGTGAATATATATAACACATTTATTGTGATTTACCACACACTAAGAATTTTTATCTATATAATATATATATTATACTTATATATAACATCCCCTATATATTAATTGAGAAACATTTGAAAAGTTGTAACCTTAATTTGTATTAATTAAAAAATAATCATATCCTACGTGGCATTTCTCTATGTCTTCTATTTCAATTTAGAAGGATTCTAAAGCACATCATATAAAGCATATTTTAAAACATTTGTTCGTTGGTCTCATATAATACATATCAACCAAAATAACATATCAAACTAAATCTCATATATATTATTTCCTTAAATAAAACCTACAGAATTACCCAATGTGACTAAGATATATATGACTATTAATGATTTTATATAATGAAGATTTGTTAACAATATGTACACTTTATATCATTTTGTTTAATTTTTTATTATTAAAATAAATTACACAACTACACTAATCATTTAATAAAATGTAGAATTTTTAATATATGTTGTATTTTGAAATTTTCAAAATGAGTATAAATTACTAAAACTGTTAAAAATATCACATAAACTTTTGTGACCAAGGTCTTATTTTTTTATAATAAGTTACAATGATTATAAAATCATATGAATAAATAATTTTATTTTAATAAGTGCTTATGTTAATATATATATATATATATATATATGAATAAATAATATTATTTTAAACATAATTATAATTTAAAATTTAACTTAATTTTTATTTAAATTTTTTTTAAAAAAATATAATTTTCTAATATTATTAGACAAATAAATAAATTATATTAGATTAGTTTTGAAACTTTATATATTCTAAATGGAAATATTCTACAAACTACTTCTTAAGAAAGCATTAGAAAACTAGATAATGCTCTACCAATTAGGCCATGTGACATTCTGTTTATTTTCCATCACTGAAACACTGAAAAGTAAAAATATATATGAATCGGATCCATTAAATTCTAAGTTTTGATCTACAGTTCTAATACAATTGTTTATGTCCTACGTATAGATAATTGTATAAAACTCCAAAATTCTACATACATATAAAAACAATCATATGTAAATTTTAAATTTGTCAATACTAAAACTTTATATTTTAATTATATATACTCATCATGTGCAAGGTGCAGATCTTATCCTAGTAATACAGTAAAAAAGATGGATCCCTATGAAAAACATATTTGGACAAGATTGGGTGTATATGTTGTGCTAATATTAAATTCAATGGCCTTGTTTAATTAATGAATAGTTCATTTAGTAATATAACTAATTAACATAGGAAAAAACAGTTATATCAACGATAATAGAAAAAGGAGACAGATAAATCCATATATTTTATTAAAATATGAGTGAATTTTATTTGACATAAAACTTAATAGAAAAGATATATTTATTAATATACATAAACATACTAATTGGGTTTTTAGTTTATAAATAATTACATCTAACGAAGGCGACGACAGAGAAGAGGCACGGAATGGTGAGGTCGTGGACTTCAGACGCGTCATGTAGCAAAGCGATAGAGATGGAGACTGGAGGCCATGGAGGAAGATTCACAGTGGCTAAGTGAGCACAGACACTAAACACAGTGAGTCGAGGACGATGAGACCTCAAAAAACTTTCATTGATTTTATGTTGGAAGTTCATAATAAAAATGAATCTAACAGTTTACATTCAGTTTACACAAATATTACACCCAAATTCTTTTTTTATAATAAGAACAAAATTGTGTTTAAATCAATTTTGTAGTTCTTGAAATATATATTTTCAAAAGAAACAAATTATTGAAATATCATGCATGCAAACACGTTTTCGTCGTACTATCTTCTGTTTTACCGGAAGCTCTGCACTCTGCAGACAGACAATGCTACAAGAGATGACCGTTGTGTTGTGGACTTAGAATGGGATTCAGGTGAAGCGAGCTGGGCTTGAGTATTCATATGACTAATAGTATATGAGAATGTACTCGTCTTCAAAATATCAACATATAATATATCTATCCGGAGATTTATCATCATATCAGTTTTAAGATCCTACTGTGAAAGGTGATGAAGACATCATCATTACGGAGTTTAATCCAACCGTCAAGTCATTTTGACTATAAAACACTCGCATACAAGGTCATATTAACGTATGT